ACATGTCTCTCTCAATCGCATGGGGAGAAAGACAAAGCCAAGCCTCCTTCCCTCTATTGGCTGAGGTCTCCTCTCTCCTCCTCCTCTTCTTCCTTTATTCTTTGCTACAACTGACTGAGATTGGAAGGAAGGAGGCGTTGGGGCTGCAACCAGACGGGGGAAGTGAGAAAGTTGTGATCTGCCAGGCAGAAGTCCTCCTGCACGTGGAAACGCTGAGCAGGACCCAAACCACCATTGCCAAGAAACGCCTAAGCAGCCTCACTTACTTTTGGATAGCAAACAAGCATTGCTTGGTTTTGAGCAATAAGTCTCAGCGTGAGCCAGTTTGGTGTCGTGGTTAAGTGCGTGGACTCTAATCTGGGAGAACCGGGTTTGATTCCCCACTCCTCCGCTTGCACCTGGCTGGATGACCTTGGGCAAGCCGTAGTTCTGATAAGGGCTGTCCTTGAAAAAGAGCAGTTCTTGAAAGAGCTTTCTCAGCCCCACCTGCCTCATAGAATCATAGAATGTTAACAGTTGGAAGGGACATTACAGGTCATCTAGTCCAACCCCCTGCACTCTGCAGGAACATAGCCGAAAGACAGCCCTACAACATACCTGAAAGATGGTCGTCCAGCTTCCGCTTGAAAACGTCCAGTGAAGGAGCATCCACCACCTCCCGAGGCAGACTGTTCCACTGCTCAACCACTCTTACAGCTAGGAAGTTTCTCCTGATATTTAGCCGGTAGCGACTCCCTTGTAATTTCCACCCATTAGATCTAGCACATAACTAGCACAGATCAGGTTTTCATAGCTTATGAGTTCATAGAGGCGTAATAGGGGCCTCATAAGGCAACAAACATTGACATTCCCATGGGCTCAGCTCCCTCCCTGGATGAAGCCTCACAATGTTCTCCCATTTAGCAACGCAGCATGAAAGGGCGCGCAGTTGGCCCTGCTCACGGGAGGGGACGGCAGTGACTGGGTGGGTTTAATGGGCACTGTTCCCCTCCCTCCCTCCCTCCCCCCCCCCCCCCCTCCCCCCCTCCCCTTTTACTAAATCAGCATCGAGACCAATGTTCCCTGTAAGCTGTGGAGTCTTGTGAGCAAAAATTCTACTTTGTGAGCTACTGGCATTAAAGTTGTGAGCGAGCAATTTGGGTACTCCATAAATTAGTTTGCTCTGGAGCCCTCCTTCCTGAGCTATGGCAAAAATGTGTGAGCCAGAGGCTAAACAACTGTGAGCTAGCTCACTCCTCTAAGCTGTGGAGTCTTGTGAGCAAAAATTCTACTTTGTGAGCTACTGGCATTAAAGTTGTGAGCGAGCAATTTGGCTACTGCATAAATTAGTCTGCTCTGGAGCCGTCCCTTCCTGAGCTAAGGTAAAAATGTGTGAGCCGGAGGCTAACAAACGGTGAGCTAGCTCACACTAACTCAGCTTAGAGGGAACACTGACGAGACCAGTGTTCCCTCTAAGCTGTGGAGTCTTGTGAGCAAAAATTCTACTTTGTGAGCTACTGGCATTAAAGTTGTGAGCGAGCAATTTGGCTACTGCATAAATTAGTCTGCTCTGGAGCCGTCCCTTCCTGAGCTAAGGTAAAAATGTGTGAGCCGGAGGCTAAAAAACGGTGAGCTAGCTCACACTAACTCAGCTTAGAGGGAACACTGATCGAGACCTCTCGTTGCTGCCTCCTTCGTGGGGCAGGAAGACAGCCCCGCCTCTTGTAATCTGCAGCTGGCAGTGGAGGATCTTGGGAGGGGAAGGCGAGGTGAGCTCTGCTCCCGAGGAACCCCGCTTGCTCTTCTTTGCAGAGGGTATTTTAACTTGTCTGTGTGGTTGGGATTTTCTCTCTCTCTCCTCCTGCCACTGCTCTTTGGTCGGGCTTGATTAGACTTGTCACCCCATTTGTATCTGCGGCTCAGTGGCAGAGCGTCTGTTTGGTATGCAAAGGGTTCCTGGTTCAGGCCTCGGTGTCTCCAGTTAAAAGGGTCAGGTGGCAGGTGATGGGAAAGGACCTCTGCCTCAGACCTTGGACAGGTGCTGCCTGGACAATGCTCCCTCTAAGCTGTGGAGTCTTGTGAGCAAGAATTCTACCTTGTGAGCTGCTGGCATCAAAGTTGTGAGCCAGCAGTTTGGCTCCTGCATAAAACAGTTTGCTCTGGAGCCCTCCTTCCTGAGCGAAGAAAGAAATGTGTGAGCCGGAGGCTAAAAAATCTGTGAGCTAGCTCACACTAACTCATCTTAGAGGGAACACTGGCTGCCAGTCTGATAAGAGTCACTGCCAGTCTGACTTTGATGGACCAGGGATCTGATTCATTATAAGGCAGTTTCATGTGAGGGGGGGGGGGATTCTTCTGACAAGCAGAGTTTCCATTGAGATCGCCCTGCTCTGCTATTTATTCTGAGACCTGATTGGTGTGGGTAGTCTGGACACGTACACCCAGGTTGAAAGAAAGGGAGGGAAAGAGATGCCTTGGGGTAAGGGGAAAGGAGAATTAAAAGGAAATTATTTTGGCTTATTCCAGAAAGATTTTTTTTTTAAGATGTGATTTCTCTGTGTCAATCTGGGATTTGTTTATTATACCCCTGCAGGGAGGGCGGGATATAAATCAAAGAAATAAATAAATTTTCCTTTCAAAAAGACCCTGATTAGGAATGATAACACTTGGATCGGATTCCAATGTTTAATGACTGGAAGTAAATGGCTAGGCATTTAAAAATACATTTCGTGTACCATATGTTCCAGTTCAACACATCTTCCTCTCTTCTTGCCCACCTCGCTGGCTGCTTTCCTTCACAATAACCCCACCCCTTTGCTTTTTAAAACTCTTTCATTCTTATCACTAGCACTGAGTGGATTTTGCCCAGTCTGAAATGGACGCATTATTTTGCTTGGAGAGATTGTTATTAGTGGAAAAGAGCAAGAGTCCTGTAGCACCTTAATGACTAACAAAATTTGTGGCAGGGGGTGAGTTTTCGTGAGTCACTGCTCACTTCTTCAGGTATAGCTAGAATGTGAGCCCATCTGTCATATATATGGGAGGGCAAATTGATTTCAGATTCACATCTGCTCCAACACCTCAGACAGAGGCATCTGAAAACACCTTTATAAAGTCTATATCTCTGGAACCTAGCAGTTCAAAAGCCAGAAATTGCAAGTAGATAAATAGGTGCCGCTTGGGTGGGAAGGTAACAGTGTTCCGTGCGCCTTGGCGTTTAGTCATGCCAGCCACATGACCATGGAAACGTCTTCGGACAGCGCTGGCTCTTTGGCTTGGAAACTGAGGTGAGCGCCGTAACCCTAGAGTCGGATTCGACTGGCTTTCGAGGAAGGGAAACCTTTACCTGGTGTTACATTTTATGGCACACAAAGGCCTGGCTTAACAAAGTGGCATTTGTGTCTGATCCAGCCTTCGTAACAAATGAGCTTGACACCTCTGACCTAACCTATTATCAATAGATCTAGTTTGCAGAGACCCAGGTGCAGAAGTGGCTGAGAATTGCAAGAATGTCCACCTTTCACAGAAGTTGAAGATGTGATTCAAGGATGGGAGTACTGGTTGGGGGCCCAAAAGATATTCCTGTGCGTAAGAAACTTGTAATCCTTATTTTAAAATAAGGATTACATTGTTAAGATAAAAAGTAGCAAGAATGAACTAACATTTTTATATCTCCTGAAAATGTTATTTTAAGCATAGATAATCTTGTACGGTGTTTGAAGTAATAAAGCAATGAGTTAGCCAAGAATGCGCACCCTTATCAAGTGGAACAGTTAACTGCTGTTAGGAAATTACTTTAAAATCCTGTAAATATGGGAAGTTTGTGTTGATCATGAACTTCTTCTCAGAAGGGGCTCCTTGCCTCTGACCTGCTTACTTTGGGGGTAAGAACTTTTTATGGACTCATGTGATCACTCTTCTTTAAAATTATCTTTGTAACAATGATAGAGAGATGGCATAATGCTTTGTGGATTTAGTCTGTATTAAGATTCTAATAGTTTTGCTTTAATAAAAAGCTTAGAATGGAAGCAGAGACTCTGTAATAGTATTGTGTACTACATTGAGAACAAACTTACAGTGTTATTGTGGTGTGCTTCTAGCTAGGAGTTAAATGATCTGGTATAGGAAAGTTAATGAGATGCCTAGGGTTTCGTAAGTGCATGCCTATTTTAGAATCAGGCCTGACCAGAGTCAGGCGTGTTTCTCAGTGTTGAGTAAAAGTTTAGCTTTACAGTAGAATTCTTGTATGTACAGATGATTTATAGAATTTTTATATCTGCATTGATACACCTGGTGGGTGCAATAAAATACAGCTTTGAATGTAGGAAAACAGCAGTAAAATTATGACGTGATTAACATAGCAGTTGTAATTGTGTTTGCTCCAAGGCAAGGGTCTGGCTGTACATCCAGTAGGGCGTGGGGCAGGTAGTCATAAGGCCATTTTTAGGCAACATGCAAATATTTCTTCTGTAATGGCCAAACTGACCTCTTCCCCTCCCCATCAAAACTAATTAAAAACCATATGTAAGTCGGGGGCTATTTTTGGGCAGGAACGCACAGGAACGGAGTTCCGGCTGGCTTCAGAGTTGGCCATGCCCACTACACCCAAAACCTCTGTGTGCGTGGCTACAGAGGGAAGGCCTGAAGAGTGACCCCCCCGCCACTCTGAGGCGGGCCGGGGGGGGGGGCGGGAGGGTTGGGGGGGGAATAAATGCCTCCCCGTGCCTTCCCCGGCCTGTCCAAGGGCCGGCTTGCCTGGAATCCCTGCAGCTGTGGGGCACCCGGGCAAGCCAAGGGAAGGCATGGGGCGTGGCTTAATATGCTAATGAGCTTCACTGTCAGGGATGTGGCCTAATATGCAAATGGGTTTCTGCTGTTGGGTGTGGCCTGTTATGCTAATGAGTTCCTGCTGGGCTTTTTCTACAAAAAAAAGCCCTGTGTTAAGTCTATATATCTGTGAAAGATGATATATTGAAAGAGGGAAATTTTTTGCTCATGGGAAAAGTTTGTTTACTTCACAGGTTCCCGGAAGCAGAGGGACCACAGAAACAGACCTATTAAGAAGCCAGATTACAAGGTTGCATATGTACAGCTGGTGAGTAAATGTGTTTGTTTGAAGCCAGGAAGGGAAGGGTATTGCGCTGAATATTGATTTAACCAGTGATAGTCATTTAGCCAGATACTGCAATTTTGCCAGGGATGAGGCTTATTCTCCACATGGTACTGAGGGGAAGCCACCATGTAGATTTGTAGAGCTGTCTTGATGTGGGTGTTTTGCAGCAGGTGAGATAACAGGACACAAGCATTCCCAGTAACTGTATGTGCTAAAAACGATTGGCTAGCTACCAGTACTTCTCTGTGAGTGTGTCTTTTTATGTGGGGAGATGCCTTTTCTGTATTACCATATACACAAGAGGGAATCCACAAGGATTTATGGGAGGCATCTAATTTCCCCCTTCCCCACAATTTCCCCTTTCCCGGAAGCCCCCTTCCCCTAGCCTCTGCCCTTCTCTTCCTTCCTTCTCTCCTTCTAGGTTGCCAACCTGGAGATCTCTTGGAATCACGATGAATCTCCCGGCTACAGAAATCAGTTCCCCTTAGGGCTGCCAGCTCCATGTTGGAAAATCCCTGGAAATTGGGGTGTGTGGGGAGCCTTGGGAAGGTGAGATGTGGGGAGGGACGTGACCCCAGCGGGGCATAATGCCACAGAATCCATCCCCAAAGCAGCCATTTTCTCCATAGGAGATGATCTCCGTCATCTGGAGTTGTAATTCTGGGTGATCTTCAGCCCCCACTCTGGGAGACTGGGAGGTCAGCAGACCTAGTTCTGCCAGAGGAAATAGGTGCTTTAGAGTGCTATAGCATAATACTCCTCTGAGGTCCCTCCCCTCTTCAAATCCCACCCTCCCCAGGCTCCACCCCCCAAAAAATCTCTAGGGATTTTGTAACCTGGAGTTGGCAGTCCTGTCTCCTTCCCACCCAACAGCCAGCATGCCTTTATCTGCCCCACTGTCTTAATCTGTCCCCCCAGCAGCCTCTGCTTAGGAAAACTGTGGTCCAGTTGTCCGGTGCTGGCACCTGGGCGAGGCCCACTTGCATTGGCGGGAATCCACAAAGATTTGTGGGGGGTGTCTCACTTTCCTTTGTACCCCCCTCCCCATCCTGTTTCCTCTTTCCCTCCTCCTGGCAACCTCCATATCCTCTCCCCTGTCCCTGCCTCATTCTGTCCTCAGACATTCATTCACTTTTATCTGCCTCCCATTTTCAGCTATATTTATTATTTATTTACTTCGTTTATACCACAGCCTTTTCTACAGTGGGAACTAAAGCAGCTTACATTAAGCAGCTTAGGGCTCTTTAGCTTGGAGAAACGACGACTGAGGGGTGACATGATTGAGGTTTATAAGATTATGCATGGGAAAGAGCAGGTAGAGAAAGAGGTACTTTTCTCCCTTTCTCACAATACAAGAACTCGTGGGCACTCCATGAAATTGCTGAGCGGTCGGGTTAGAACAGATAAAAGGAAGTACTTCTTCACCCAAAGAGTGATTAACACTTGGAATTCACTGCCACAGGAAGTGGTGGCGGCTGCAAGCATGGACGGCTTCAAAAGGGAATTAGATAAGCATATGGAGCAGAGGTCCATCAGTGGCTATTAGCCACAAGGTATAGATAGGGACTCTGGGGCAAGTGATGCTCTGTCATCTTGGTGCTTGGGGGGGGGGGGGGCAACAGGGGGATGGCTTCTAGTGTCCTGGCCCCACTGGTGGACCTCCTGATGGCACCTGGTATTTTTGGCCACTGTGTGACACAGAGTGTTGGACTGGATGGGCCTTTGGCCTGATCCAACATTGGCATCTCTTATGTTCTTATGTTCTTATTGTCCTCCCCTTCTTTTTATCAGCACAGCCGCCCTGTGTGGTAAACAGTGTTCCCTCTAACCTGAGCTAGTGTGAGCTAGCTCACAGTTTTGTAGCCTCAAGCTCGCACATTTTTTTGTCTCAGCTCAGGGAGGAGGGCTCCAGAGCAAACTAATTTATGCAGTAGCCAAATTGCTCGCTCACAACTTTAAGGCCAGTAGCTCTCAAAATAGAATGTTTGCTCACAAGACTCCACAGCTTAGGGGGAGCATTGGTGGTAAATTAGGCTGAAAGTATGCGACTGTTCCAAAATCACTGAGTGATCTACCACAGCAAAATGGGGATTTGAATTTGAGTCTCACAGTCCCTTCTCTGAAGCTCTAACCACTACACAACACTGGCTTTCATAGAGTGGCTGCTATTGAACAGTAGCAAGCAGCCAGGCCTAGTTGAGTCATATACGTCAGGTGATATCACGTCATCGAGAGGTGGCTTCCAGGCCTGGGGTTGCCAGCCTCCAGGCGGAACCTGGAGATCTCTCAGAATTACAACTGATTTCCAGATGACAGAGATCTGTCCCTTTGGAGAAGATGACTGCTTTGGAGGGTAACCTTTATGGCATTATATTTGTCTGAGGCCTCTACCCCAGAATCTCCAAGAATTTCCCAATCTGGAGTTGGTAACTTTAGTTGAGTCCTCCCTCAAAGGCAAAAATTAACCCTGGAAAGGGCCCTGCCTCTTCTCCCTGCCTTTTTATTCACAGAAACAGATATTGGAATACTGTAGTTCGCTCACTGAGGGAATCCATTGCTTACAGCTACAAGCACTCCTATTATCATTTTGGGGTTTTTAAGCCACCCAAACCTTTATCATTTTGGGGTTTTTAAGCCACCCTTTTCTGGTTTGTAGAAAGATCTGTCTTGCCTGTTCACAGCTCCAGTCACCGAATTTAAGTATCCAAAGGTTTGACTGACTTGGCTGTTACAATAGGAGATTCCACAGTATGAGGGCTCACTGGGAAGGGTTCTAGAATTGTTTAATCGTTTATTCTCAAGATTTATACCCCTTTTAAAAAATGCAGTTGAACTCCCACAAAGCAACCTACATTCAGGTTTAGTAACAATTAACATTTAGGCACGAAAGCCGTACAAAGCTGTGATACATGGAGGTAAAACAGTGGCAATCATTGTCTAAAATAGAATGGCAGATAAAAGATCAGCATTCAGTGGCTCGAGGGAATAAAGGTGCTTTCTTTTTCCTTCAGAAGGTCAATAAAAATGGTGCCAACCACACATCTAGGGGAAGGGACAACAGCAGAGAAATCTTTCATGGGTCTCTGCTAACCTAACCTCACAATTACACGGTTCTTTTACCAAGGCCTCAACTGCTGACCTTGGATCTTGAGCTGGGTCATATAGATGAATAAAACCCCTTCAGGTTCTTTAAACCCAAACCATTTAGGGCTTTCAGTGTTAAAACTAGGGGTGTGCAAGGGAAAAAAAAATATTTTTTTTCCAGATTCGGGTATAATGGAGCCAAATATATTCGGTATTGCCGAATATTCCCGAATACCAGTATCAGTATTGCATTCAGGTTTGGGAAATATTTCGTAATACTGAATATATTCAGTTCCATTATACCTTATGAACTATTATTGGCAAATTTTCTAGGGTTTATTAAGTGGCCGGGGGGGGGGGGGGGTGGTGAGAGTTTTTTTTTATGTCCTGGCCTCAGTGTTTTTGCACCAGTTGAAATTCCTGAACTTCTTTCAAAGGCACATGGAACATGTTATTGTAGTCCATCCTGGATATTACCACAGTATGTGAGATGGTGGCCCCCGGTCGTCTTTCTCCAGGAACAGCCACAGTTGGCCAACCAGTTTAAGCTAGTAAAAGGTTATAGGTATCCAGGAAGTTGTTGTTGTTGTTGTTCAGTCGCACAGTCGAGTCCAACTCTTCGCAACCCCATGGACCACATCACGCCAGGCCCTCCTTTCTTCCGTCGTGCTCCGGAGTTTGCTTAATTTCATGTCCGTTGCATCGATAACACTGTCCAGCCATCTCATCCTTTGCCGTCCTCTTCTTCTTTGACCTTCAATCTTTCCCAGCATCAGGGTCTTCTCCAGTGAGTGCTCCCTTCTCATTTGGTGGCCAAAGTATTTGAGTACTCCTAATTATAAGTCTCCTGTTTAGGGGTGTGCAAAAAAAAAAAATTCAGCTGATTCGGATTCCGCCAAATCAGGCAGAATCAATTTCGGCTGCCAGTGAGACTCCCGCATGTCAGTTTTGTCAGTAGGAGCCATTGGGAAGTGTTTCCGCCATCCGAATGTCAATTTCAGCCCCATTATATCTTATAGGCCATTGAAGTCAATGGTGAAAACATACAGTATATTCTGGGGGCTGGAGGGGAGGGGGTTTGAGGGAGTGACTCCAAATTTTCAGGGTAGCTTCAGGAGACTCTCCCCACATAAACCCCCATGTACCAAAGCAATTAGACTAGTGGACTCAATTCTATGGGCACCCAAACTGGTTACCCCCATTACCTCCATTGTTTCCAATGGGGAAACCCAGCCAGCAGCACTTAAGGCAAGCAAGTAGGCAGCACCCAGCAGTCAGACTCTCCCAGAGAATCTCAGGGAAAGTGAACTGTCTTGGGAGGTGCTTGTTTGCCAGGAGAACAAGTGGCACACTTCAGAACAAGTGGCACTGTGGCAGTGCAAGCATGCCACAGTGCCACACAAAAACCGCAAAAGACCAATAGGAACAACATTTATACAGGCCCTGCCCTGTGTAAATTGATGGTGCAACCAGAAGTCCAGGGATGTAGCAGGTCAGGCCAGGGTAGAGTTGGGTAGAGTTGACTTTCTCTCCCCCTTCCCAAGCAAGGAAGGTGGTGTGCAAAGCAACACCACCAACCTTGCAGACTGCCCCCCCCCCCCCCCCTTGGTCTTTTGGGCACAAGAGCTCTGCAAGTCGTGAGCCGCTTCTCTTAAATGTCACTGCAAGGCTCTTACTTGTTTGGCAAAAAGCTGAAGGACAGGCCTTTTAAACAGGAGCTAGAAGTTGGAATCGTTTGATTGTACTGATAGTAACTTTAGCTATTTTGTCCTTTTACATTTTTTTTCCTAAGGAGAATGCTGATTGCGGTCAGCCAAAAGTTGTGACGCCGTTGGTCTTGGCTCTACATGCAGCCTGAGGCAAGGACATGGTCTCCCCTCTGATGTTGTTCCATCCTT